AAACTTGCCCTAAAACAAAAGCTATATTCCTATATAATTATTCACTCGATATTTAATACTGGAGCAAAAACAAATAAAGAAATCTATGAACTACTAAATTACTGAGACGTTCGAGTGTATCTTCGGCTACTTTCATCTTCTTCTTCTTCTTCTTTTTCTTCTTTTTTTGGCTCTTTTTAGATCTATATATTTTTAACAAAAGCAAAATGAATATAAAATTTTACATGCCAAATATTAAACTCTTTTTCCTACAATACGAGCATTCAAAGTACATGAGATGTAATCCAATCCAATCAACTTTTCAAATATATTGCAAAGTACACTGGCAAAGAATTCACATTTGACCGATATAGTGAAATAACTCGAAACAACATGTAGCAATTCTTTATCCTTATAACGTGCAGTATAAAAGACATAAGAAAAATACCACCTTATTCTCATTGCAAAGCACACTGACAAAGAATTCACAATAAAGAGATATGGTGAAATAACTCCAAATCAGCATGGAGTGATTCTTATCCTTATAACGTGCAGTACAAAAGATATAAGAAAAATATTACCTTATTTTTGTGTAATCCCAACTTAAATCATATCATACCTTCTGTGTGAACTCATATAGGTTAATACAAAGTCCAAAGTTGTTAACCTTTGATTAATCCACACTACCTGTTTCTGAAAGACATTACAGTCAGACTACCCAAATTAGATACACATGGAAGCGAAGAATATATTAGAAACAACGTAACTCTAAATCATTAGGAGTAATATATATTCGAAAGTGAATAGCAAAATAGAAATAAGTTATTATAGAATCTTCTTGGAGGTAAAGATCAAGGTTTGTTGGTGTAGGCAAAGCTGGGGAAGATGCATCCGAACGCCTGTAAGAGTTCGTTTAGAGTATGAAATGGTGATTTATACCGACTTTACCTCTAAAAAAACGAAACTTTTAGCTTATCGATTATGAAACGGCGTTTATTGATTTTAACTTAAATACAAGTAACTGAATAGGATGAAAAGATGCCTTTTTATTTAAATAATACTAAATGATTAATGAGCAAAAAAAATCTAAAAAAAGGAGATAATAGAAAAATGCATTTCCTCATCGGTGAGAAGTGCCAATCACCTTCTCTAGCCGTCTTTTTAGTGTTTCAAACTTTGTTTCCGATGGTTGTTTTTTCAAACAAAAAAGCGAATCAAATTTTGTAAATAGAAAGTCTTTGTAACTGTCTTCTCTACTCACATTGGCGGAGGAAATAATAAAAATGGTATAGGATTTTATTTTGGTCCTTATTATATATCAAGGGCTCGTTTGGTACGAAGAATAATTGATAATTAATCTAAAATTGTGGTATAATTAATTCCGGAATTAAGATTATAGTATTTTTTTTATCCTCATAGAAGATAAAAATAACTAATTCTAAAATAACTAATCTCCGATAATTAATCATGTGATAACTTGTTTCCCAACCATACGGCCATGATGTATTCAAAAAGTGTATGTTTTAGTCCCAACCCTAAAACCTAAACGGTGCAAAGCAAATACACTATTAAACTTAACTTGAAAGAAACTTAACTCCTCTCCCTCTGCTGATTTCTTTCACTGCTTTCTCTCTACTCATCAAATGGCGTCGGATCGACGAGCAACTCACGATTCCGACGGCGATTCCATTTTCGGCTTGATTGAATCGAAGCTCAAACCCGACTCCGTCATCCTCGAAACCTTAAAAATCTTCAAGGCCTCCACTGCCGCCTCCACTTCCGAAACCCTAAACCTCGCCGATGATGGCCTCTCCACCATCCCTTCCCCTCAATTGAAAGAGATGGTTGTTGGTTGTTAAACTTATACCGCATATGGTGATCCGATTAATTGTGCGAAAAATGGAATTTTAGGAGCACGTGTTCCTTGGATTAATGATAGGGTTAGTAATATGCAGAGTTATGCATTATTCATTTTGTTGGTTGAAAAGTATGCTGCTTATGTGAGATTGATACCAAATTGGTATCAAGTTGAATCAATGGAACAATGATTCGAAAATAAGAGAGAATAGAAGAGGAGAGAACCAGAGAAAAGAGATCAGATTTGTATTATGATAATTGAATAAGTTCACTATTACAATCACTCTTATACTAATTGACAATTGAGGGGAATTCAAAAATAACAAATGCATAAAGTGTGACTCGCTTAACTAACTTTCCCGCCAAACTGAAATTTGAAAGAAAAGGCCTAGCTGTCGTTTGAATTCGTCTAATCAGTTGTCCACGCCACTTGCAGTTGATATTAGTGTATCAATAACCC